AGAGCCAGCGGGGGCTGGATGTCTCTGCCCACTACAGCCCTTGGCCACGCCTCTGTCCACGTAGGAACTTGAGTTTTTACCTTAGAAGGCAAAAACCACTCACATGTGCATGACAGTGTCCCCACTGCCTGCTCAGGGCGCTCCTGCGTCTGCCTCATGCCCTCTGACCCCTCTACAGAGAGCTGCCCTAGTCTCGGGCCTCGACGTCACCCGGCAGGAACGGAGACGCAGGAGGGAAGAGCACCGAGGCACGTAGGGGGCTCCTCTGCAGACACTGCCCACTTCCCACTCCTTTGCTCCTTTAGGCCTCCACTCGGGTCGGCCCAGCCAAAATGACGAGGTGAAAGGAGTACAGTAACTCATACTGCGCTCTACAAAGCCAGCGAGGCCAGGCAGACCAAGAGCCAAGGACCCCACGCCTGGCTCGCTCCTAAGGAACATTGGAAAGCAAGCAAAAGTTCTGTCTTGTTACCTGTAAGGAAATTCCGAAGAACTAACTAAATCTCTGTCCCTCCTTTGAGTAATAGATACATCACAAATTAGCCACCGAGAGAAACGTGTATAACTAGGGAGACACGGTGGTAAGGGAACAGGGCAGGAGGAATGGGCGCCATGTACCGACGGGTCGCGGTTAATCAGTCATGAACCACGTCTGTCTGCGGCAGAAACCGCAAGAGAACACGTGACATGAGAAGTATCTTAAGCAGCTGCGGCCATTGGTTACATCTTCTGAAACTTCCTTCAACACCGTGTTATTCTCTGATCTCATAAATTCACAAACAATTATTCTCCGATTAGGAATGTTGACATAAACAACGATTTTTCCACTAATCTTGGAGGCGCTCGCTGGGAAAACTCTGCCTCATACTTCAGAGATGGGAGAGAAAAGGGAGGGCTGGCTTCGCTTCCGGATGATCCAGAAACATGACGTGCCCTCCAGAGGGCAAACAGAAAAAGGTGAATCCCCCACGGCCTTGCTGTGCTGACCCTGGGGAGAACTGCGGCTTTGCCCAGGGAACTCTCACAGCTCCTCGTCCCCTGGCTGAAGACCATGGTGTGAACACAGCCAGAGCCGGAGGCATGTGTGTCGGCAAGGTGACTGCTGTGACGCTCCTTCTGCTGGGGGACAGAGAAGGACAGGAGGCGGGCACACTCGCTCTGCCTTTGACGGCATGTACGGCTCAGGAGGCAAATGACGGGAGCTGTCATGGCCTAGATTCCTCATCAACACAGGCAGGAAGAGGAAATTGGTGAGAATGTCAATTCCAACTCTAATTTCACCAAGGGCTGCCTGAATGAGGGTGGGAGGACTTAATTCTCTGAACTGCGTGCCTGCGTGAGAGGGTGCCATCGCTTTGAATGGGTTTTATTGACGTCTGCAGCTGGCTGTCATTGAGTCATTGGGAAAGGTCAACTCTTTAGCACTTGGCGCGGGGAGGAGGCAGCGCTGGGAGCGATGGTGCTCTCAGGCTGACACTCCAGAAGCTGCCACCTGTCCAAGCTGTTGGTGAGGGAGAGGGGTGCCAGGTGGCGGCGGCGCGGGCTGTCATGGATCTGGGGCAGCGTCCCCCTCAGGGCCTCCATGCCACACACAACACCCACTCAGACATCTAACGCTATGAGGCTGTGCAGCTCACTACCGAAGGCCTTCACTCCCAAAGGAGTCCCTTCAGTGAAAAAGCCAGCCAGGGGCAGCCATCCTCTGCTCTGCGGAAGGATGGTGACACCCGTCACCTGGCCATGCCGGGAAGGCCAGGCAGCTGAATTCTGGGGAGAGGCACAGGAGCTAAACATGCTCACCGCTCCGACTCCACGGTGCCTGTGCCCAGTCTGCTGGCCCCGGGGTGGCTGGCAGGGCGTGCACACCAGGGCGTGCTCGGGGAGGTGGCTCCTTGGTTTGTGGACCGCCATTTTCTTTCTTTTTTTTTTTGGAGGGGTTTTTGCCAAAGGGTGTGTGTGCTCGCCAGAGCGA